AGGACTGGAGAATGATCCTTGGTGGCAATGTGAATCTTTGTACACTGGCTGCAGTGTCAGCATATGAACAGTGTAGGCATTTCCAACAGAGCTGGTAGAAAATGGGAAAATGGTTGGCCAGGGAGTTTTCCTGGAAATGCATTTTCAGCAGAATTCAGCAGCTCTGTGGTGTGTGGTGACTTCAACGAAACTTGATGAATTTATAAACTGTTCTGAACTTCTCCTTTTGCTTCTGCACTACTGTCAGTCCCCACTAAGAACTGCAGCCTTATATGATATAAACTTTGATTAGACTTTGATTAAAATTTGATAGAGACTTTGATTAATAGCACCGTATGGAGAAGCCAGAACAAACTCCCCAAAGGCTGATGAAGAAAAAATTGTCAATTCAATAAACAATGAGAAGTTAATCTATAATTTAAACAATGTGTTAATTAATACAGTAAAAATAATGTAATCTGTGGTAAATCCAGGGAGAAATCTTGTCTATCTGCTCATCTAGGTGTAGCTAGAACACCATGCCCTTGAATAAGACAATAGTAACTTAGGTTAACAGATGGACGTCTCTTTCCAATCAGATGGTCAGCAGGATTTTTTGCTTGCTGGCTTTTAATCATTTTAAGACGAGAAGTCTTTCTAAAATCAAATGGCATAGTGGGAAAATCCAAGTAAGTAAAAGGAGAGTGCCAAGGGATGACTGCTGGCCTGTGGACAGGATTTCAAAATGAGATGCCACAAAAGGGACAGCCCTGACCTTCCTTACCCACCCTGATGATGTGTCCCCCTTGCCTCCCCAGGTCTGTCACTACCCATGTGTGACAACCCCTGTCCTGGGGAGTACAGCTGGATCCCACTGAGCCTCAATCAGGTTAGCAATGGGGAAAATAAAAGTGTGTGAGGGACTCAGTGTTCAGCCGTGGGAATGCCAGTGATGTGACAGGAGCATGCAGGCTGGGTAGGAACTTTTCATTATTAAATTAGAGGTTTTCAAGGGCACCCTGCATAAAGTTGGCTTCAAGTAACTGGAATAACCCCACTAAGTAAGCTTGTTCATCCAGGTCTGTCTATCACTTTGTCATCCCTAAAACCTGTCAAGCCAGCAGAGCAAATGCAATGAGATGTGATCATTATGCTGGATGTCCAGAGACACAACCAAGGAAGAGCCTTGTAGCCTTTAGACTGCTCTTATTTTGTCAGCAAATTTGACTGATACTTAGTCTATGATAGTTTATTGTGAAAGAGTTCGTTTTTGTAGCAAAGACTGTGAAACTACTGCTTATTTGCTAAATAGCTTGAGGGATGGCGGCATTTATAAGAGAATTACTTGCAGCCTTCTGAATTTATTGAGATAATCCCTGTGACTTGGAGGTAGAGCCAGTGCAGAATCTGACTGCCCAGCCCTGGGAGCAGAATGAAAAACATGGGGCAAAGGGCCCAGGTCCCCAGGGAGTTTCGGGCTGTGGGTGTAAGTAGGCTGGCACTGAGGTCAGTAAGCCTGCCCCAGCCACCAGGCTATTGCTGTTACACCATTTCTGACAGGTGAACTAGGTCATCTGCAGGTGGTTCAGACACTTCTGCCCACACATATGCCCTTATGCAAAGAGATGCAAGTTGAGCATCAGTTGTTTCAGTGGATTTTCTGCCTTTGCTCGCCCCACATACAGAGCCATCCGATTCATCATACACCTAGAACAGGAACAGTGAAGCTAGTGACTGCCATCATGAAGCTGCTTAGGGCAGGATTGTCCTACAGGGTAACTAAGGGAGAGGAAAAAGAGGAAAAAAAAGGCAAAAGAAGAAAAAGACAAAGCAGCTTGAAAGTGCTGCTGGTTCAGCAGAGAAGTTCCTGTGGTAGTGCTGTGTTCAGAGCAAAGGCAGGAGAAACAGACTCCCATGAGGAAAAGACTGAGGAATTACTTATTTCAAGGCACATCTGTCTTCTAGAGAGCAGATATTTCTTCAAACTCAAAGGAACCACCCGAGTGGAAAAGGTGGAGGTAATAGGAGATTAGCACAGCTCCAGTTTAGTCCAGCATCAGATTGAAGTTGTTCGTCTTGAGGAATTAGTGCTGAGAAATCATCAGCTTCCCCCATAAGCAATTTCATTCCTTCCACTGAGGTGGGAGCTGGCTGCTGGTTGTAGGCAGAATAAGAAAGATCATTGCCTCTATTTGTGCCAGTTTTGGTGAAATCTTGAAAAAGAATCAGATTTTTAGATGATAATTTAGCTACTCTTCTACTAATATTCAGATATCTCTGGGTGACGACACAGAAGAGTGATGCCAATCATGACTGTTGATGGCCTCTTGCATAAGCTGCAGCATCCCAGTGCAGTGGTACACAATCTTTGCTAGAAGTTTACACTGCAGTTTTCTAATTCGTGCTTGGGGAAACCAGGCAAGTGCTAAAGGATCCCTGTGGTGCATCCTCTGGCCTTTTGAAGTGGCCCTCGCTGCAGTGTATGGAAGATTGAGAGAGAAGGTTTTGCACACATTGCACATGCTTGTGTGTTTTTTTCACCTTGATTAGCAGGGTTTAGTTACTGAAATAAGAAATTATCCATACTAAGCCAGCCCCTATTACAAAACTTGGAATCTTTAGTCACACTGACAGCATTCTCCTGTTGGGAATGATGCTATTTTGGTGCATTTGGAATGAAAAATACACAATTTCATAAATAAAATACTTAAAAGTTTTCCCTGCAGTCATTAATGGTTTGATATTAGAAATATCCTGCTAGGGAATTCATTTCCCATGCCAAATTTGTGGTTTGTGAAAGTCATATACTTTTAAGAACATGGACCGGTGATGTCACTTAACAATTCTCATAAAAACTTTGTACTGCGGGACAGAGAATTAAAAGAACAGTAATAAAAAACAAGTAGCATTCTCTAAACAAATAAAATCAATCAAACGCTCTGTTTACTGATCCATGCTAGAAATCTCTCTAACTGGCTCAGTGAGTGGACAGCTAGCTGAAGCATATACCTTATGACTGGACCTTTTAAAACACCCAGTTGTAGCATGATATCACTGAGAGAAATTATGCTCTCCTTAAGCAGCCTCACAGGAAATCCAGCATCCTGTGGTACAAAGCATTATCCTTAATATTTCTTTAAAAAAGGAGAGAGAACAGAGAAAGGATTTTCACAGCTGGCGAGGATGAAAATATAAACATATTAGGTTTCATCAGGAGAATATAACGGTACTACTGCTTAAGGAAATACTACAACCATGTTTAATTTTCTTAGTTTCTTTAAATGGAGCCTTTTCTCCTTAGAAGATGGAAGAAAATGGGAGAAGAGAGGATAAGCAAATATTTTCAACCTTCTCAGTTGAAATACATAATTATAGTTTTATTCCTTTTTGGTTTCTGATACACAGATTTCACAGAGCTGATTGTAGGCTTCAGGAACCATTTTTGCCTTTTAAATTGAAGCATTTCAGGTCTTCTCTAATTAACAACCACTTGCAGAGTGTATCACAGGCTCAGTGTGTACTCACCAACCACATTTCTCAGAGACAGATCTGTTATTGCACTAAAATGAGGGCGAGAGTCACTCTGTATTAATAGTTTATGAAGATAGCTAAATTACATCTGACCATACAGTATTCTGGCTATGTTCTTCTCCTAAGTCTCTCTCTGGACTCACTTTTTCTGGGGAGACAAAGCTTCTTGAAATGATAATACCTTCTCCTGAATGATAATAGTTCAAACTGGTTGGTGTGGGGCATTACCATTTTGAGAAATAGCTGGAGGAAGTGCTTAGGCAAACTTCCTTATACAGAGCACCAGCTAATTAAAAGAGAAATTTTGGTTTTCTTTTCCCCTTAAGGTAACAGAGTTTTAGATCTAAAGAAACAAAAACACAGTAAGAAGGACAGCTCTTTATTAGTTGACTGTTCAAAGAGGAGGTAAAGGAAAAGCCTGTGGTTTATCCACAGGAAACTGCCCAGGATCAAGGTCTTCTCACAGTTACCCACTTTGTGCCCAGTCCTTTTTCACCCAATCAGACTCCCTGAATGTTACTCATAATAAGCTAACCGACCCAAAATTTCTCAGAGCAAGGTGCTGTCACATTTTTATCTTGTACAGTGCAGGCACACAAACTGTTTCTTAAAAACAAATGACAAAAAAGCTGCATTTCCTTGCTCCCTCTGTCCCTCTGTTTCTCCACTCCTTCTCCCTGCACTCCTCACTGCCTCACAGCATTTTTGTTACCTTCTGGATCCCAAGTTCTCATTCACTTCATTCACTTGCTAAAAATCTCTGTCCAGGTGCAGCCATAAGGCAAAACAATGGGGCAATACAAAAGGACAACTGTCAGGTAGCCAAAAGTAGCATCAAAAAAGCAGTAGAGGATGAGATATTCTAATATCTGTATCACCTGACAAAACTGCATGGCAGGACATATGCATGCATTTACCATTTTAAAGAAGTAATCACACTTGCTGAAACCATCAATCTTAGAAGGAAACACAGAGTGTGAAGCAATGAGTACTGCTCAGGAGATGACGTGAGACTCAAGAGAACTGGTGGACACAAACATTGGCATTTTCTTCACAGAATAGGTGTTATCTTCTGTACCATCTTCTGTTTTGCATAATGCCACATGAACCTCACTATTGCAGTTTGGAGGGTTTTGAACATTCACAGAAAGAAGCACAGGGAGAAGAGCAATAGCTTGATTGACGCAATTTTCACATTGGCCCACTGGATAATCAGAAGAGCTCTTCTATTACAAGGACATGCAGAAAGCAAAACATTATAAATCCTACCCACAACCCAGGGCCATTAAGAAATGCTAAAAAACCCTCTAACAACACAGGCTTTCTTGACAGAATCATTGTTAATAGCTCAATACCAGCTAGCAGGCAAGATCCGCTCTTATGCCAGGACTACAAGGCACACAGCAGTTTGAAAGAAGGATAAACATGTATGTGTAGAAATTACATCTTCAAAAAAATATAAAAAACAAATAGATTAAGTGAAGCCCTACCTTGGAGAGCCTGGAGTGTACGAGTCTGTACAACAATACAGAGTTGCAGGACCAGCTGTGGTGCACTTTCCAGAAACGTGGCTAGCAAATGCAGCATACTCACATCTGCATACTCATACACCATTTTCCAATAAAACCGCCATCTGTCATTCTCTCCACTCTGTCGACTCCGGATACCCAAGTACATTGTGTGAAAATACCTAGAAATAAAAAAGAGTGGTTATAGAAGTGCAGAGTGATATTTTACGGGTTATACCTCTGCTTGAAAATAATATATTTTTCAATGTACTTCAAAATAATGAACATTTATTTAAAAGGATTGTTGTATTTCAATTTATAATAGTTGATGTGATAAGAGTAAACTAAACTGAAGACAAGACAAGCCCTCATAAAGCCATTAAAAAAGCTTAGCACTGTCTTATTTGTTAAATAGTATTTCTTTCAAGGACTCAGTTTTCTGATTTGAAATATAAGGGTGATATCTTGATTACATGGCCTTCCTCAGAAGTTTTTGAAGTAAGGAGGGGAACAAAGCTGACTCTTTAATGATTTCTACTCAGAACCTGCAAAGAACTAGTCTCCTTTCTGCATGGCTCTACGAGGACATCGAGGACCACATGCACTGCAAAGCTGGGGTGGAGCCCTGCTACTGCCTGGAGCCCTGCTATGGCTGAGCTCATTGTCCTGCTTTTCCACCCATCAAATACACTGAGTATCGTATTCTAGACACTGCCACATATATAGTGGTTTTTTCTCATAGTTTGATTATTTTAGGAGGAGAGAAGATGTAGCTGTGAGTTCTTATTTTAGGAGGAGTGGAGATCTGGCTGTGGGTTCCCTTGGTGATTCAAAATGACTCACTACAGTAGCTCCTATGCAGCAGCATAGGGAACAAGTAAGAAGCAGCAGGAGCCAGGAACCCAACAGGCTGTTGCTGCTCAGAGTAGTAACCAGCAGATAAAGGAAGCAATAGTCAGAAAGCACGTCAGCCCTGGTGACCTGTGCAAGCATTGCGAAATACAAATGGCAGCCAGCCCATTACACAGATTTTGGCTGGTGCAGGAATGACGAGTGGTTTTAGGAAACAAGGGATGTCTTTTGGTGGCCAGGCCACCCAGCTGTTGTGGTGCCTGTCATGATCCTTGCAGTTTGCAGTGGTCTGCCATGATACACCTGAATCGCAGCACAGCAATTGCTCCAGGTGGCCTTTGATTTGCTCTTTTACTCTGATCTGCTCTCTGTTATTCTGTGTCAGAAAGTCTAGGCTCCCACCTTGTCCCTACAATTTTAATTCCACACTAATTAAGACTGGCTGAAAAAAACCCAGTCTTGCTTAATGAAAAATTCTGAAGATTAAGATCAGGGTGCCTTGCATCCTACTGGAGTGCCCTGATGGGCTACTAACTCATGTGGATCTCTGTTTCTCTTTTTCTAAAGGCATCTTTCATATCCTGGTCCTGACAGCATTTTCTTATGATGTTTTTAATATGTTTTCATATTATTTTTTAAGTGAGATTATATTTTATAATAAGAATAATTTTAATAAATTATAACCAGTTTCAATATGAATTCTTTTAATTGGTTAAGATAAAGTCTTTCAGTATTTCTTCTTTTCACAAGTTCCTGTCTTAAAAGTCTTTTCATAACTGGTGGAACACTGTGAATTTTGAAACCTCTTTTATATAGGTTGCATGCAAACTTTTGTCTCTACTCTATTCCACTGTAACTCTGGAGGTATCTGCTGATGAGATTTTTGGCCTCTGACTGACAAATAGCCCAAGACTGAGTTGCCCCCTTGAAGAATGACACTGTGCTTGTACCCAACGAACCCTTGTACTCAACACATTCTTGTACGCAATGTGCATGCTACTGCAGAGTGACAGCTTTATTCAGAAGTATGCACTGAGCAAAACCAGGACTAGCACGGAGAAACAGCTGAGAGGCCAGATCTGAGCCTGCAGCATTTCTCTTGACAATGCACATCATAGCAATATAAAAGGAAAACACATTAAACTCACATTTAAATTAAAATCACACCGGGTGGCTTTGAATTTTGTCAAAATCCCATGTGGAGTGAAGCAGCAATGAACTGCTCAGAGACTGAGACCACAGAGGTGCAGTGAACAAGACACCAGCTGTAATTCTCGCACAAAACACTGAGCAGGTCTGGATGGGTCAGAGTGTGATGGGATAACTGGGGCTCTCTGATGTCTTTGGGTTTAGGTAAAGTGAAATGGCCTGCTGTCCAGATCTGAAAGAAGCCACTGGGCTGGAAAGGCACCTTTTGCTGCACAGTTCTGTTAATGGGGTCCATTGGACCCACAGGTTCTCAGTCACAATCCATTTAATTGTTCCTGGACCTCTCGTTAAAGTCCTGCGGTGCAACAGGGGTAGGTAAGACTTGTATTTCCTTCTGCAGTTTATTTTTTGGATGGGGTTTTTTTGTCCTACCTAACATGTCACTTTCAAGGGGCACACCTTGAAATATTGCATAGTGGGGGCAGACAGCCTTTTTAGCATCCTTCTTTTAAGTTATCACTAACCCTTGCTATAAATTCCTAAAGTAGATGTGTTTGCTGAAGGTTGTGCCAGGAGGCTCTAGCTCTGCCAGTGGAGCCATCTGCAACCTCAGTTCTACAGCATTTGTAAAAAAAAATACTTTTCCTATTACAAAAATGACATACTGTGCCAGGCGAGGTCCCCCAGGGTTCTTTACCTGCTCTGCAGAGTGGTTGTGCATGGCAAATATGTTGTGATTAATGAACCCATATGGAAATATTTCCTCTCCCATAGCACTTTATTGTGAAACACTGGCAGTGAATTATTGGGAACTGGGGAATCATTGCTCTTTGTCTACTTAGCTCTCTGCAATTTAGACACAAGAGGTAGAGGAGGAAGATACTTTCTGTTTTTACACGCTAGGGAGCAAATTTCAGCCTAGGGTGGTATTTTTTTTGTCCTTTCAATTTTGGCCAAATTAATTGCAGGCTGAAATGAGCATTTGCTGTCAGTTACTGTCACTGATTTATAGGCACAATCAGGTGATTAGACAGCTAAACATTCTGATTTGCATCCACATTTAATTGCACCAGCAATTGATGTTAGGTGTGCAAATTAGCAGTTATTAAAATAAAAAGATGGTCTCATAAAATGCTTCATATATCAAAGACACTTTTTTCTGATTGTGAAATAGAAAGAAGAAAAAAAATGAGAGAAAGTGCTTTCTTGTAGTGCCTTCCAAATATAGCTTAACACTGCAGTAATGACACATTCTATTTTATATATATATGCTTTATGTAATTCCACTTTTGACACCCTCACTGGAATCCTATTGTCAGCAAGTGACATATAGATACACTCAGAAGTAGTTCCTATTTTACACAGTTTTTATATTTTGGTCTTCTGGTATTGTTTTGATGGGAACTCACACTTTTATGTGAGTTCAAGTTGCAAGTCTTATACACAATTATTCCAGAAAGATATAGGAAGAAGTGAAAAAGAGTTCTGCACTGGAATATGTCTTAGGTTTATTGTGGGGTAAACTGATGTCGATGAACCTAAAGCAGCAGATCTGAGCGTTACTATTTTGGTTGTGATTGCATCCAGTCAACTGCAGTCTTCTGCAAGTGCTTTACAAGTATACAAACACTGCCTATTCATGTCCCCAAAGAGCATTTAATTGACATGAAAAGAGATGACAAGGAGTGGAGAACTGAGTTAGAGCACCAGACAAAAAAGGAAAAGAAGAGGGAACAGAATGTGTGGTACTGCCATCTAGTAAAGTAACTGCTTCATCTGATAAATCAAGATAGTCCATCAAAATTTCTCATTTCATTAGAAGAGTAAAAACAAATAAACACACACACATACCCCTCCCCCCCCAATTCCTCAGCTCTTCTGTTTGTGGAGAAAAGCTTAGACGTAACTGAGTTTCTTAAAGATTTTACAGTTGGAAGACTATGAAACCTTTTCTATGAAGACAGGCTCAGAGAGTTAAGGTATTCATCCTGGAGAAGAGAAGGCTCCAGACAGACCTTATTGTGGCTTTCCAGTACCTAAAAGTGGCCTACAAGAAGACTGGAGAGGGACTTTTTACAAGGGCATTTAGTGACAGGACAAGTGGGAATAGCTTCAAACTGAAAGAAGGTAGGTTTAAACTAGATATAAGGAAGAAATTCTTCACTGGGAGGGTGGTGAGATATTGGAACAGGTTGCCCAGAGAAGTCGTGAATGTCCCATCCCTGGAAGTGTTCAAGGCCAGGTTGGATGGAGCTTTGAACAACCTGGTCTAACGGAAGGTGTCCCCGCCCATGGCAGGGAACTGGAACTGGAAAATCTTTAATGTCCGTTCCAACCCAAACCACTCTGTCAGTCTGTGATTCTATGAAATGTACTATGAAAAAGAAATATCAAAACCTATTATTTTAATTTTTAATTATTATTTTAATTTTTTTTTTTTTAAGACAGACAACTGCTTGGGTTATCAATGCAGATTTAAGCAAGTTTACTATTCAGAATTAAGACAATGGAGTGGGAAGCAATACTTCATATATCACTGATAATCAGATGGCAACATACATATTATTACTTGAAACTTAATGTCTTTTTTAACCTCTGGAGAAAGTGGAGAATGCTTTGTCATTTAATTGTTTTAATTTATTTTAGTGCATCACATAGCACAGTACACAGACCATTGATGGAGCATAACTCTGAAGGATGTGAATCTGAGAAAAGATATTCTTTTTCCATTATATTAATGAGAGAAGGTACTAAAGTAAAAAATGAACAGAAAAGCAGGCTAGTCCTTTTGCTGTCCACAACATGTTCAAGATGCAAGACAAATAGAAGTAAAAAATTACCTATATTTGTAGTTGTGGAAAAAATGTATTTCTTTTCTAGGGAAAGAGACATTCATTCTGATCAGACAGTGGCTCTCCAGTATTTCCAAAATCAAGAGTGCTCATTTTGCTCCAGGATCACATACCAATCTTAGTAGACTAAGACACCTATATTGGAAATACTTCTAGTAACATGTCACTTACATGATTAGAGCATGCCCAATTGTGCATTTAACTGAGATTGTGGTGGTGTAATTATATGATCATACTCAATATTTATAGGAGTGCTTTCCATGTTTAAAGTGCTTTACAACTACTAGCTGATTAACTGGAATGAATGTAAATAATCTCACAGGAT